GAATGTGGTTTTTGAACGATGGTTGCACCTTTGGGCAGCTTACTGAAATGGCGCGAGATGATTATAACTTGGGCAAGAAGACTGAGATCATCGAGTTAACCTACGCACTACCAGTCTCAATGTTGCAAAATATGGCTCCAGATACACCTCCAATGCATGTCACCAATGATAGACAAGTTTCAAGCTTGATTGCGTTAAGCAGAGTACATTTGTTACGCCTTTGTGTGTCCTGTCGAGTGGAGATGGATACTGAGGAGAACCAGGAACGATCAGATGAAGAGTTTGGTGAAGATGTTGAGGAAAATTCAGAACATTCAACCGATGATGAGGCAGACAGTTCTGATGTGAACGACGATGGAGAAGATGTCGACGATGCAACTTACTCTGACGGAGAAGATTACAGTGTCTACGGAAAAGTGAAAGATGAAGATGATGATGAAGATGAAGTCTGTATAGAAAAGGTCAGAACCCGATATGGTGAAACAGGGAGCACGCCCATGTCATGGTCTGATAATATATATGTTGGGGCAAGTTTCCCTACTAAAGAGAAGCTGTTATCAGAGGTTAGACTGACTGCCATAATGTTAAAATTTGCTTTTAAAACACAGAAGTCTACCAAGAACCTGTTTGTGGCTAAATGTCGAGTGGAAGGATGTGCATGGATGGTTAGAGCAAGCGTGAAGAATGAGGCATCCACTTTTTGGGTGACAAAATATGTGAAAGACTACACATGTTCAATAGCCCATCGAATGGCTCACCGTGGGAAGTCTACTCCTAAGTATATTGGCCAGCTTTTTATAAGCTATTTTGGCATAATTGATGGACTTACACCAGAACATGTCAGGGTTTCAATGAAGCATATGTTTAGCATCAGGATGGATTACACTACCTCTTACAGATCTTTGATATATGCCCAACAATTGGTCAGAGGAACAGCTGAAGATGGATATGCGAGTCTACCAGCTTACCTACATTCAGTGAACAAAGCCAATCCGGGAACTGTATCAGCTCTTCATGTAGATTCGAATAACAAATTCAAATATCTATTTCTCGCATTTGGAGCATCGATTGCTGGTTTTCAGTACATGAGAAGAGTTATTGTGGTTGATGGCTGTCATCTAACAGGGAAATACGAGGGTACTTTGTTGGTTGCCACCGCACAAGATGGAAACTTTCAGATTTTTCCTTTGGCCTTTGGAATTGTTGATGGTGAAGATGATGCTTCATGGGAATGGTTTTTTTCTAAACTGTGTGAATGTGTCTCAGATGGTTATCCTTTGGTGATAGTTTCTGACAGACATATTTCTATTAAGAAAGCTTGTGAAACTATTTTTCCATGGGCAAAACGAGGGATCTGCTACTACCATTTACAACATAACATAGTAACAAAGTTTAGGGGGAAGCAGCTATTGTACTTGGTTAAACGTGTGGCTTATGCTTACAACCTCTATGACTACAACCGGTACATGGCGGAGCTGAGACAGATCAAGCCTGACCTTGCTGACTATTTGGAAGAAGCCGATGTCTCTCTTTGGTCCCGAGTTCATTTTGTTGGAGACAGATACAATATTAAGACCAGCAATATTGCAGAGTCTATAAATGCTGCACTTAAGAAGGCCCGTGGCTATCCCATTTCATTCTTCTTGGATTTCATCCGAGAGAAGCTCGGTTGGTGGTTTTTAAAACGCAGAGAGGATGCTTTGAGTCTCACAACACATAATACTCGGGGAGTGGAGTATTTGCTGGTGATTCGTGGACATTATGCAGATGCAATGGAGGTGGACCGAATTGACACTTGGAGATACTATGTGAAAGGAGGAACCAGGAATTGTATTGTTGATTTGGAACATGGAATGTGTGAATGTGGTGTGTTTTACATCGAGAAGATCCCATGTTCACATGCTATTGCAGCTGCATTAGCCGGTGGGGTATGTGTGGATTCTCTTGTATGTCCGACTTACTAAAAAAACTACTTGTTTGCAGCATACTCTGCCAACATATATCCCCAAATTTCAGAGGTCCAAGGAGGCCCAACTTCAATATGTCTGCCACCAGACATTCGCCGTGCACCAGGCAGACGGAAGAAGTCTCGGTGGCAATCATGGCTAGAAATTGCTAGGAGGAAAAGCAAGAAGCCAAGGAAGCTGCACAAAGTATACAGCTGCTCCCAATGCAAGCAACCTGGTCATACCCTACCGAATTGCGTAAGTTGAGCTAAACTCGAATAACAATGTTGCAATTTTTATTTAATATACTTAGCCGTCGAAGATTCACCAGGAAAAGAACAAGAAGGCTCCGGAATAGGAAGACAAAGCATCTATTGTTCTCAAAGAAGTCTGCTTTGGAAGTCAACTTGCGAAGTCTATTGGTGAAGTCTACTTCCGAAGTCTATTGGTGAAGTCTACTTTCGAAGTCTACTATGTGTGTGATATTTTGGTACAACGGTTATGTTTGAAACGACTTCATATATGTAACTGTTCTAACGACTTTAACGGTGCGTATAACCGTTGTATCTGATTGTGTTCTGTATTTCTGCTTATAAATTCTCGGGTTTAGACGAATTATAGGCTCATTCCAGACCCATTTGAAGATGTCAAACCCCTTAAACTTTAACTCTCTCCCTTCCGACATTCTGTGGGATATCCTCTTAAAAATCACTTCTCGTTCCTACGGTGGGCTCTGTAGAGCAAGAGTCTCCTCCAAACATCTAAATGAGATTTCTAATGAAGAGGGTTTTTTAAGAGCCGTTGATCTAATAACTTTGACGATTCCATGGGTCTGGGATCAACATGGGAGGGTTAACGCTTTCTTTCGGCGCTGTTTGGAGTGTGGAAATCCTACAGCGCAATACCTACGAGCCGTTTCTCTAATCTTCTATGAAGATAGCATCCAAGAAGGATTTAACTTAATAAAGGTGTCATCAAATGGAGGATGCCTCATGGCAACTTACTCCATGGTTATGTTCGCTTTAACCATGGATGGTAGCCATGATGTATTTAACCACATTCGTGGTATAGTTCCGGCAGAGGCAACGAAGATGCGGAAGACTATGCAGCACATAAACAGGTGTCCGACCACATATAAGAAGCATGACGCATTTCACGAACCGGTCTTCCATGTTTTTGATAAGGCACAATCAAGGAGTTGTGCTTGTATGAATCTGCCAAACCAGCACTGGATGGATGATGAACGCCTCGTGGACTCATATGGTGACAAACTCTGCAGTCCTTGCTTCTGGAAGTTGGAATGTGCCTTATTCTGGAAAACAATTCCTGGATTTGCAAATGAATGGCCGCAGTAAAATTAGTTGACTCCATGTTTTATGTTTTTTGGGTTTACTTATATGTTTACATGACTATGGTAGACTTCGTTTGTAGACTTCGTTTGTAGACTTATAATTCTTATTTTAATAAAACTTTTTCTTTGTACACTTTTTCCGTCTACACTTTCTGGTATACTCGAAAATTACAGAACTTAATCAGTTGTAAGGGTGAAATTAAAATTAGAAATACTAACATGTTAATAGACTTAGTAGACTTCAGTACGGATACAATTACAACTTAGTAGACTTCAGTCAAAGACTTCAGTTTGAGTACAATTTCCTAAACGAAAATACAACATATTTGGCAAGTTAATTATGAGATAGGTGGCAAAAAAACTTCCACACCTATCATCTACCAATTGCTAAAATGACCTCCAATCACAGTGAAGGTCATTTATGCAAGTAGCCCAAAAGTTGCCATAAAAATCAAAGTTAGTTTTAAGAACGGAAACACTAAGCTTGCCTATCATAAACATCCAGCCCGGTTGCATCTAGCTTATCATGGCCCTTACATCCTGTTTCGTCATAGATCTCTGCAGCTATTTTATCCTTGATTTTTCGCATGTTTTTATCGCAGAGTTCCGGAGGAAATGACAAATCCAATGCATGACACTCGATGTACTTCAGGCAGTATACTCCGTAATCACCACTCTGAATGTTTTGAGGTATCTCCGTACCTGGTACTCGCGAATGGGTGAACGGCGTGTAGGGGAATCTCCACTTGTCATCGTCAGGTGCACAGGTCTGAAGAAGGTAGGGTATCATAACCGCAAGAGGCTCCACAGCTTCAGCAATTTGTTCATCAGATGCATGTTTGGTTCGCGCATGGCTATCCCAAACCGTGATATGCTTAGTCACAAATGAGACCCATATTGCTACCCAATGGTCCTCCCTAATGTGCAACATGGAGTACAACGAGTCCACATCATATGCCCACGTCTTCTTAGTCTGGCAGTAGATAGGTAATTCGTCAGTGTAGTACGAATATGCTCCAGGCGGCAGAAGTTTGCCAGACCCATCTGCATTCGGCTCAGATTTTTTGAAGTCTTCGTAGTCACGCCTCCAAACAGTAGTAAACATGGAGTTCAGGAAGCAAATCCGGTCGGATACAAACCACTCCGGATGCTTGGATAATCACAGCCTGAGTAGGTTGATGTAAGCTTCCATGTGCTGCACATTGGGGAAAATAAGAAATGAGTGAAGTCTGAAAACGAAGTCTATTATAGAAGTCTACGGAAGAAGTCTACGGAAGAAGTCTACGGAAGAAGTCTAACCACGAAGTCTACTATGAGAAAGTAAAACACTAACCGTATCAGCTAGCCATTTCGTCGGTGTGCGGAGAATGTAATACCAATCGATCGAAGAGTTTCTTGGGCGTTTTGGCCAGGCACTGTACAAGTGAAAGAGTTAGAAAGGAAATAATACTATGAGGAAGTCTACTTACATACGTATAGAAGTCTACTTACGGGTTTGATTTGATAAAGTTCATTAGAGTGGTATGCTTCGCCCTGACACCGGTTTGATCAAAAGGATCATATCCACAGGCACGGCCGGAGTGAGATGCCGACGATGGAATGATGGCCTTTGCCGTGCTGTTTCCTAAGAAGGGACTCTTCTGTGTCGCAGCCAGCTGGCGGTGTCGGGCACTAGTTGCTCGGGCAACTAGCTGAGCCGCTTCTCAGGCTTTGGCATTTTTGGCAAGTACAACCGCGTCGAAGTCTACATCACACGTCTTCGGGTCAATTTCACAAATACTAGGCTCTGGGGCCTCTTCTTCATTCACGGCAGCCTTCTTTCCTTTTGCATCCTCGGGGGCGTTATAACTCTCACACGCACCAACGTTGACATTAGCTTTCATCGGAGCATCATCTTTCTCTGAATTACTCTGCAGTTTATTGTCAGAAACATGCATGAATATACAAATGAGTACACCAATGCTATAATTTAGTAACATGTTTTATCATAGTCTGAAAATTGTAAGCAACAAGTTTTGAAAACATAAGTAAATAATCTCACATGGTACATAACAGTAGTAAACATGTTCGAATTCAAATGACATTAGTATTAAGTGTTCCTAACTTTGTGTGATCTTGTTCGCATGTAATGTTTTCGTATAGGCGGAGGGTTTTTGGAACTAACCCTTTCATGCTTCTTGGATCCAGTGCCCTGCTGCTGGGTTGGCTCTTCCTCAGTGTGCTTCACCGACCCCGTAGTCAACTCTTCTACCGTACACTCTACAGATTCAACCTTCTCGGTGAGAAGTTTGATCTGCTTTTCACAGCTACCAAGACCATTCAGCATCTTGGTTGAAAAGCTTTTGAAGCATTGGTCGAAGTGCGCTTTCATAGTAGCGACAACTCCGACCCCTTCATCACCAACGAATGATGCGGCAGATGCAGAGGCTGTGTGGGATCTCTTGCGACTTGATTCATCTGAGGGAAGGCTCCTCTTTCCGGCTTCTGACTTGACGATGTGTGCACCCAAAACACCTTCCAAAGGCCAATGGTTTTTTGAGAACTTGAAATTGGGGTCATGGAGTGCATTGACAATCTTGACAATATCTGGATCCTGTTCGTCATCATCCCACACGGGAAACATATCCGCCAAGTTCTTAGCCACGCAGCACTGTATGCGAGCCTGGAAAAACACAATTAATAAATGGATTTAGGGCCATATGAAGCCTCGGAAAACTACGTATGAAGTCTACTCCTGAAGTCTAACAATGAAGTCTACTCCTAAAGTCTAACACAGAAGTCTACACCTGAATGTCAAACACTATTAATTATACATATAGAAGTCTACACATGAAGTCTACTTCTGAAGTCTACATTGGAAACTCATTACTACATAGAAGTCTACTACACTAATACAGTACCTGTTTTAGCATGTTGGCTTTGACGTTCTTTCGTCCTCTGGATCCTTTGTAAGCCAGCAAAAGAGGTTATTCAGTAACATTTGGCAATGGTTCGCCAAATTCAGCAGCAAAATCCGGTAGAGCATAGTACACCCACACTTGAAGAGCTTGCACAAATCCTTCTATATGAATGTTTTTGCTGAGATCTTTCTCCTTAACAGAATTAATCAAATGCTGAAAAGCAATTCTTCCCCATGGAAACTCCTTAAAACCTTCGAGATCCATCACTAGTCTGGCATGGTTGACATTTGTGGATGAGCCGGGTCTCGTTGCCACTATGAAACCAGCGTAGATCCCAAGATAACCCAACCGCAGCCTATCATCACGAGACCATGATGAGCAGTTGGAACAGGCTTTGATAATTTCGGTAGTGCTTGGGCCCAACTCGGCATCGACCCCCATTAGCTCCCAAAATGCACGCGTGTCATCTTCAAGCGCAAGATCAGTTAAAGCCAAGTCATCCACGTACCCGCAGTTGAGTCTGGTGATCTCCTCAAACTCATGCAATGAAAACCGAATTGGAGTGGTACCAATGAGGCTCCATATCTCGTACCTCTGCTTGCAAACTATCTGAAAGGTCAGCATGTGGTGCACCAGCCTAGAAGCCCAACCAAAATCCAACTCGTGGAAATTTAAAAAGACACCCAACGGTGACTCGTAAATCTCTTCCCATTCATCCTCCTCTAGAGCTGACTTTAGTGCAGGGACCAGCCTATAATCATCAGCGTAATAGCCGATGCTTTTATCCGGGACTGGCTCAAACCCTTTGGTGTAAAGTCTTCTGAGGAATTCAGAGGCCATTATCTAACAAAGATTCCTGCATCAACGGTAACAAAGCTCTAATGAGAAAAACTAGTAACGGTTTGAAACTATACCCGAATGAAGTCTACATTTTCAAAATGAAGTCTACTTTATCAAAATGAAGTCTACTTTCCCAAAATGAAGTCTACTTTCCCAAAATGAAATCTACTTTCCCAATATGTGAAGTCTACTTTCAGTAAAAGAAGTCTACTTTCACAAAAAGAAGTCTACTTTCACTAAATGAAGTCTACTTTCACAAAATGAAGTCTACTTTCACAAAATGAAGTCTACTTTCACAAAATGAAGTCTACTTTCACAAAATGAAGTCTACTTTCACATTCTAAGTACAATCCAAGTCGCGAAGTCTACTGAAGCCAACCGAAGCAATCTTAACATTAAAAAAACAGTATATGAAGCAATCAAAACATCATAAATACTACATATGAAGTCTACAGAACCCAACCGAAGCAATCAATACATGATAAATACTGTATATGAAGTCAATCTACAAAGTTTAGAGTGTTACCGCCTTTATTAGATGCAGCTGGCGCCGAGAAAATACAACCAGATCTGGTAAAAAAACCTAATTCAAACCCGATGGAACAAAAATTACAGGAAGATAGAAGAAATTTAAGAATTGCTAAGTATATAACTTCGGAACAACATCTACTAACCGTTTTGAGGCAGGAAATTACTTTAACCTCCAACGGCGAAAGCAAATCTGCAAAAAAAAAAAAAACCCTAATTTCAAATATGGAAAATGGGGGTTTAGAAAATGGAACGGTGATGAATACGGAGGAGTAGGGAAGCATGGGGGTGTGGTTGGAGAAAGAAAACTTGCCTGAACGAGTTTATCGGCGGCAGTTCTGAATGTCGACGGCGCCGGAGCAGAGAAACGGAATTCGCCTTCGAGTTTTTTTTTTACACGAACTTTTCGACGGTTTTTTTTTTAACGGGATCTGTAATTCGTATATATAGTCTGGTAATTCCGTACGGTTCGGGTAAGTTTTTTCCGGTTAAAGTTGCTAATTTTCCGGGGTCTAGGTTAATTTACCCGGTTAAGGGCAATTTCTCTTGGTTAAGGGAAGTTATTCCCGGTTTAATCTCGGTTAAATGTCTGTTAGGTTAATTTTTACGGTTTAGTAGACTTCAATATCGAAGTCTACAACTTTTAAAACCTAAATAATAAATTTACTTCTACTTAATTTAAAAACATACATTTCCATTTACCAATGTGAAAAAATAATTTTTTTGCATTTGGGTTACGATTACGGAATTTATGATGGTAAATTTCATTTAGTAGACTTCAGTTTTACTTTAGTAGACTTCGTCAGGGAGAAAACGGTAATTAGGACATCCGTTTTTTGTTTACTCATACAGGATTAAATGGTCTTTTCACTACCTCTGTAGGTTATATCTGCTAAATGTTTTTTCAGGGATCTACTTTTGTATTCAAAATTAAATTTTAGGTTATTTTTAGCAAAAACCCCTTACATTATTTTAAAATCATATGCTCGTCAAAACAGAATACCCAATGTCATTTTTGAGCACCAAAAGTAAATATATTACTATCTTTTTAAACATATTTAAATACGAAAAAATCATGTGGCCGTCCAAACACATGAAAAATCATCACATTATAGAAATTGTTTGTTTTAATGTTTTTGAGTGAAGTGTTGAGCTTTTGATTCTTGTACATTCTTTAAAATATCAACCACCGGCCAAGAATAAGATTTTCTGAAGTATTCGAATATCCTGATTTTGCTAACTGATTCGCATATCGAACAAAAAGAACGCCCCAATATTTTTCAACAAAATAGGTCCCATTGTTTTCAACTTTTAAATTTCACACCCCTAACTTTCCGTGAAAAGTCAGTTCTGTGCCCCCTATCTCTCTCTCTTTGCCAATAAATAGTCTCTCTTAACAGAGAAACAAGTTTTCTATAAACCTCAGTACTCACAAAAGAGAAAACACTCAAAAGTAGGAAATGGCCGGACTTCAATACAGTTTCTTCCCCACCGACTTCTTCTACCCACGAGCTTCTCCTCCTGCTACAAGTCTTGTCGCTGCTAATCCAAAATTAATAATAAACCAAAAGAGAGATGGCTTGGTAGTGATGGATGAAACTGATCATGCTTCTTTGTCTATGTTTATACATGAAAAGACGAAGAATCAGTCACGTTTTGATACAACACAAGCATGGAAGAAGACAAAGAATCCACTTTGGATCGAAGATGATATGTGATATTTTTGATAGATCTTGTTTTTTTGTTTGTTATAGTTTTAAACACAATTCTCCTTTTAAGTCTTGCGTCTATTGTTGTGACTATATATATATATATATATATATATATATATACATCAATAAGGCAATGATCGATATTTCTTTCTCTCTCTCTTTTTTTTTTAAAGATTGAGTCTCATGGGTGCCATTGCCAATACAGCTTAATAATAGCTTATAGCTTTCAAAGGTATCCGAATTGGCTGTTCTCTCTTGTAAACCCAATGTCTATGTGTATCCAAAAAAAACTTGTGTTCCTTCTATGCATGTTCCACACAAAATGTATATGGACCTTGTGCAAAACCAAAAGAATCATCATAAATCGATAAGCACATACACAAAATCATGACAAAATCATCAGACACATAAAATGGAACGATCTATGTCAAGACTTGTGCAGAAAAGCTAAATTTTTGTTGTTGCTTATGTAATTGTGTGAAATTAGTCAAGAAAAACTTTTGTGGTATTTCTATTTTCACTTTTCTAGTTTAATTAATTAGTCCAATAGGAAAAAGGTTTCAATTCGGCTCTTTTCTTATTCGGACGTTAAACCAATTAGACTTGTATTAGGCCCAATTTAAAATTTAGAAACCCTAAACCCAAACCTAATAAAAAGTACTAGTTGACTTGCCCGCGCCTGGCGCGAACTGATTTAATTTTTTATTTGATTTTTTGAAAATGTAGTAGTAATTTGTTTTTTTTATTGAGTACTCATTTTATTGTTTGTAGACGATTGTAATAACATAGTAAAAAGGAGTTGAAAAATGCATGTTAATATCAAAATAATATGTTTCAAGATCTTTTGGTCATTGTTCTACGTATTTTTGATATGGTTTGTTTGTGTTATTCAGAGTTTATTTTTTGAGTTTAAAATCTTTTGTTATGTATTATGTTTGGTGTTTTAGGTATTTTTTTGTCATAAAATAATGATAGGGAATATTATGTATCTTTTTAAACTTTTGGATATTTTTTTTCTTTGTTTATTGTATCTATATTGTTGTGCATGATTGTTTTTATAATTTTTTGTAGCCTATTTTTTATCAAATGAAAGGTAATATATAGTATAGCACTCCTAGATAATAATGAAGTTAAGCACATTAATAAAAAAATATTGAGCTAAAACAGAGTACTTTTTAGTTTGTGTATTGTGAATAATTGATTCTGATATGAATATAAAATTGAAATTAACTTTAAATTTAATCATAAAGTATTTTAAATAACTTTATAATTAGTAATGAAATAATCTTTCAATGCAGTTTGATATCTTACTCTAAATAATATTTGCCTTATTTAAAAAAATATAGTATATATGTTGGCAAAAAATTTCCTTGTAGACGATATTCTTTGTGGTTTTGTGTGGTGCTCCTTTGTTGTCAGTAATCAATATTTTTAAGTCCTTTCTCGTTGTGACTTTTGAAAGTACAATGTAAAGTTGACCATGAGAGAAAGCTGGTTTTGACAAATACAATCATACCTTCTCCAAAGTCTGACCTTGACTTTTGTTTATCGTCATTACAAAAGCAAGCGATACTGAAAATTGTCTTCTGCGCATCTTGAAAGGGAATTTTGCATCGGCTGGAGTAACGAACATTCTTGGGATTAAAACCTTCTCGTCTACATAACTGTTAGATTTTCCTGTAATCACTCTTGCTTCGATAACGTGATTTGCTAACTGAGTGACAATAAGCCGTATGCCATTGCACAATCCTCTTTTTGGATCAATGTTTCTAAGCAAGAAAATAGGAGCTCCAATCTTCAGAAGCAGTCTATGATTAGGCAAGCCTGAAATTTTGATGCTGTTCAAGAATTCTTGTGGGTAGTCAATATCTTTTGGAAAATCTTTGTCCAAAGTATCTATATCATCTTCTGGAATTACCACTCTTTCCGATGGGTCAATACTATCAGCGTTCAAATAAACTATTTTCTCACCTATAGAATTATACAATTAGAGAGTTCTGAGATATTCAAAATCTAAGTAGGAAGACGTGTTAACATATATTGTATTGTCAAAGAAATAATACCTGTTAATTGTGAAAGCATATTCGTTAATTCTCTCGACATCCAGATTTGTTGGGGCCAAAATAGCTCGTTCCTTAAAAAAATATGGGGTCATCTCTATTAGCAAAGGATTCTCCATATATTTCCCTTACTATAGTTTTTACTGAATCATCACAATCTTTAATCAGTAAGTCTTCTGGAATCTCTATCTTAGTTTCTCCATCATTAGGCTCATTTATTTTTCCTTCTCCGATTTCCAGAATCCATTTTGAAAAAGAGCTTATATCATTTGCATCACTCTCACTTAGACCGATGTGTAGTCGCATGTTTATGGTCAGCCGTAGAATCTTACATTTTTTCCAAAGCTTTGATGCATTCAACGCAGTCATTACTGTTATATGTATACCGGGAGTACCTGCCGAAAATCTTCCCCAAAAACAATGAATTTGCCTCCAATAGGTTCTTCAAATTTAATTATGTCTTGCATGCTTCTGTCGAGTGTCTCGAAACAGAGTTTATTCATCATTGGAGCTTCATCCCAAACTATTAGTTTTGTTTCCTTGATCAAGTCTGCTAAATGTGTACCAGATTTCATCGAGCATGTTGTGCTGTTATTGATATTTATTGTAATTTCAAACCTAGAATGGGCTGTCCTACCCCCTTGTAATAGTAATGAAGCAATTCTGCTTGATGCTATATTTAGGACAACTTCACATTTAGATCTCAAAGCAGGGTCTAGAATACTCCAAAGAAATGTCTTGCATGTGCCTCCAAAGCCATAGACAAAGAAAATGCCGCCCTTATTGCTTTGAACAACACTTAGAATTTCATTATAAACACCCTACTGCTCTTCTGTGATCATTGTCATGTATTTAATATGACCTTTGAGCATTTTCATCGCTGACTGTTGATTGTTGAATTTATCCATTTCGATATCGTCTGCCTTTGGCATAATGTCAAAATTGGCAAGAGTATTTCTATGACAACTCATTAACTTTTTCGTTCTCGGAAAAAGTGAAATTATTTATTTGTTCCTCTATTAGCACCAAATCTACAAAAAAAATGTATAATTGATTATATCAGTTCGAAATACAATAGTTAGAGTCATTAATAAAACAATATATTTCTGAGATATTTAATTGTGAACATGTTAAGAGAAATTTATATAGGTAAATATATACCTTCTTTCTTTTGTATTTTCTTTTCTTCGTACAATATATCTTTGGAGAGTATTTCCCATGAAGCGCTCCAAACTCCAAGTACCGAACCTACACTATTTGAGAACATCATGATAACAAACAATTTGCGTGTATATCTTGCAGAATACCAAAAACTGGCCTCTTTTACTGCTTCAATATATTATTTGTCATCGTCTAATAATCCGTGTGCATAGCAAACATCTTTGAATGTCTCATAGACTACACCTTTGTAAATTCTTTTATCCTCAAAACATGTTGCACCTTAAACTTTCATTAAGCAGTAGTCGCAAGTAATAGAATTGACCTAGTGTTTGAGATACAAACACAAGCCTTCCTATAACATTTTTCCCTTTTCTTGTCTTTGGTTCCCAGGATCTTGTTTTTTGGTGCCAAACAAATTTTGATGGGAGATCGGGGTATGTCACATCTGCTGCCTCCTTGTATATTTTATAACACTCAAACCACGCTAGAAACTTAGACATATTGGCAGATGGTTTCTCCAGAACCTCCTCAATGTGTTTGTTTGGTTTATACATTAGCATCTGTTTTTCGTTCATAATTATCATATTGACTGTTTTTCTGATTTAAATTAAGATATCTCAATCTGTTTGTCTCTATCATCTTGAAACATCGACCAGGAATTGTTGATATAATTTTCCGACATCGTTATGGTAGGTGCTTCACCAAATCTCTCTTGAAGATGAAAAGCAAAGAACTCAGACATTGTTATTTTTTTCCTTTTCCGTCCAGCCGTATTCACGAAACCTATGTCAATTTCTAGCCGAAAATCATCTTCACCATACCAAAAAAGTAGAGGATACTGCAGAGGCAAATAAGATGGATGCAATTCACTAATGTGTTGTCGATTCTCACTTGTAAATTCTAGAATTATTTCTCGTGAGTTCGTTCCCAAAACAAAATCTCATGATATCAAAGCAGCAACTTCGTTGGCAGTTGGCAGATTATGTGTCTTTCCATCTGTATCATAAATCAATTTTAATTTCAGATTCTGATTATTTGGAGTCTCACTGAATTGATATCGGACAGTTCTAAATGCTTTCACAAGAGGATTGTATTTATCTACCACTTTTTTAAGAAGGGAGACGATAGACTCCTTTATGCCATTTGTAGAACCTTTTTTCCTACAAATAAGTAACGATAGAGGTGGTTTATAATCATGATTCTAAAATTAGTTATAATTGTCAACAAAAATACAAAAAAGAGAAATTTTACCTAAATAATTATCTTATTTTTTAAACGATGTAGGTGGTTTATAATCATGATTTCCTTTTTTTTAAACAACAGTTCATTAATTAGATATATATATTATTATTTTAATTTTTTGTTAGGTTTTTTGTAAAAATTTTGTTTTTTTTTGTTTTGAAATGACATTCCATTACTTTTTAAATAGATTCTATTTTTTTTTAAAACATTTTTGGTAGATTTTTTTAAAATTTTGGAAACATAAAAATGGTAAATATTAAGATATATATTTTTTGTGTGTTCTTTTTAAAAAACGTTTTTTGTTTATTTTTTTCTTAAATTTCGGTTTAATCTAATTTTAAAAACGGTTTGATTTGACAGCAAAAATTAAGCATTTAACCATAATAATTTAGACCGATTTGTTTTAAGTTTTTTTTGACATATCGTGAAATGAAAACCAATAAAAAAATGACACATTATTGGAAAACAGGGCTAAATAGTCTTTTTGCGACCGAAACTCATTCTGGAGCTGACACGTAAGCGGGAAGCAGTGAAATTCACTGTGAGTGCGACACGTAAGCAAATCACTACACAAATAAGTATATAGATTTTCAATCTTTCAAATGTCATTGTCATCTTTATCTCGTCACCTAAAACCCTAGAAAACTTAAGTCTGTATAAACGAGAGATCATCTCTTCTTCTTTGCAAGTTCGTACTCCTTCACGATATGGCACTGGCTCTTTTTGTTGAGCCGAATTTTTTAAGCCCAGTAAAGGTGAAGAGGAAATGGGAATTTGTCCCATATCGGTGGTTCAGGGTGAAAAACTCTAGTATATATTAAGAATTATCTCATATATGTTCGAATAGCGTGTGAGAGAAAAGAGAAAGCCCCACGCGCGTGCCGCCAAGCCGGGCCGGGCGCGGGTTGTGTTGGTCGAATGAGCCTTCGGACCTAAGACGGGTATTATTTTTGGGCCATATAAAACGTAACAGATTATGATTAATCACATTTGCTGATTTTCGCCTTTGGCTTCGCTAAATTTATGGCCGAGATTCGTGTTTGACTTGCGGATTTTGTGGGATTTTTGGAGACTACTCAAGTCTCTTCCTCCGCTATATATACACGACCTCTCCTCTCATTTCACGAATACACACCTCTCATCTTCTACTCTGAAATATTCGCAACAGTCTCTCTTTTTTATTTTCGTAAGTCCTCTGCCGAGAGTATAGTAGAATACTAGTTCGTATAGATCCGGGTTTCTTAGTGCTGCTGAAAACGGATAAGTTTGGTTGTATCCTGCGACTCTTGGATCATAGAAATCCATCGCATTATGGGCGATTCAAAGAGTTAAGGAAAGAGATCATACTCTCGCTTCCACTTATTTCTTTTTGCTTTAACGTTTTTATTTAAATTTCGTATTTCAATCGCTATTTTGTAGTGTTCAATTTACTTTGGTCCTACACTCTTAACTCTTTGAATCCGTTCTTGTTATATAAACATTGAACGGATTGGATACGAGTATTTTTTTAAAACGTTTTTTATTATTACTTTCCATCTTTAATCGTAACCCACCTATGATGGAACTCTCATTGGAGGTTTGAAATAATGAATGCATGGTTGATTCAAAGAGTTAAGGAAAGAGATTATATTCTCGCATCCACTCATTTCTCTTTGCCTTAACGTTTTTATTTAAATCTCGTATTTCAAACGCTATTTTGTAGTGTTTAATTTATTTTGGTCCTACACTTTTCGCAGCACCCCGGCTCACTGACAAGCAACCGCTTGAGCAAAGTTGACTCGCTGCTGAGTAGACTTGCGCAGCAAGCAACAATTTACTTGTTCACCCATTACCCATACAATTGAGGGGGACATTCGAGCTCTCATCACCTCTTTGCACCAAGAGGTACCAGAACAGAATGCAGACCTCCTGAACCGATGATGTAATCTCAGAAACATCCCATGATAACCGATCTCTTGTGACTTAATTATACTTGCCGGCTCTGTTTTATCATTGCCAAAGTTTTATTCGTTTTGTTTTAAAACTCTCTGTTGCTTAAAACAGCCCGGTTTGACATTTTGGCCTGCCAAATTATGTATTTTTTCTTTTGTATAAAATTAAATTTAACATTTAAAAAGGTAAATTATTCTTTCCATGGTAACACCACATATTCATTAGAAAATTTACTAGCAAAAGTATTATAGCAAATGAATATATGGGCTGATTCATTCAGTGTTAGTTGAATTGGTTAAAGTTCCCAACAGACTAATTCCCACAAATTTGGTTTCCCACATTTTAAGTGGTCCGTCTTATTATGGTATTCGCGAGATGATTGTAATAGAATAGAACATGCATGATCGTATTAGTTTGGAATGAAGATCATTACTTATACAAATATAAATTGTGGCAGTTCTAAATCCACTAGACCAACAATTACGCCAAGGATGATTTCACAAATAAATAAAGAATTAATTATGGACTTGTCTATTTTTATTTTCTCTTATCAAATATAAAGTTCATCTTTTGATTTTGATCCAATGTAAAATACGTTAAGTATGATCAGTTTCGATAGGATTATTCAATAACGGTTGTTTTAGTTTTTGTGTGGTATTGAGAGCAATTTTGTCGTCTACAACTCACTTACTTTTTCCATTTAAATTCGGGTTATGATATTGCAGCGGCATTAATTAGTACAAACCATTAGGCTAGAAAAAAATCTTTTAACTTGATATTAATCTATTAATAATAACAAAATGAAAAACTATGAATGAACTCTTGAACCATTGTGTCTTTCTATTGTACATTTTCATTTATAATTGCTAATTTATTCAAATGTTACAATTCATGAATCTTTGAACAATTGTGTTTTTTTATTGTACATTTTTTATTTATAACTGTTAATTTATTCAAACATTACAATTTTACAGTTGTGTTTTTTCATTTTATTTTATTAATTGTACCATTTCGTACATAACTGGTGATTATTAACGGTTGCTTCTCTGAATACTTATATCTTTTCAAGATTGTATATATTTTGTTCATTGTTTATTATTTCTTTTATTGAAATTTTTTTCTTATAATCCTCTCTTACTTTGAAAAACAACATCTTATATATCAATTTATTGTTGATAAACTTCAAATTAACTTAAAATTCTTTAAATAAAAACATTGTTCATTTGCAAGAAATTTTTACAGAAATGGTGTTACAAAAAATGTTTTTTAGTAGATGTTAGTCATGAATAAAGAAAAACTTGAAATGAAAGGTAAAAAATCTGTTCATTTTCCAAGAAAATAGTTTTGGAACAAAAGCAAAAAAATTTGGACTAAACAAAAAATGGTAATTCTCTTGGCAATTATTTTACCAACCATTGCATCTTTTGAGTTAATGGTTATTAAACCATTGCAACTGTTGGAATTATGCTTCTTCTAAACTATTGCGACTATTCATTTGTACCATTTAGAATTCTTTAAAATAAAAACTATGAGTGGACCATTGTGTCTTTCTGTTTATTTTTTATTTTTAATTAATTATACATTTTCGTGTATAACTACTAATTTATTCAATGGTTAGAATTCTGCAGTTGTGTCTTTTCGTTTTATTTTATTAATTGTACAATTTCGTACATAAACGCCGATTATGAAAGGTTGCATCTCTTCATGCTTATGTCTTTTCAAGATTGTATATATTTTGTTTCATTTTTCATTATATCTTTTATTGAATTTTTTAATAATGCTCTCTAATTTTGAAAAACATCTTCTACATCAATTTTTTGTTGACAAACTTTAAATTAACTTAGTTTTTTGAGAAAATTATTGTTCATTTTCAAGCAATTGTTACTGCAATGATGTTAGATGAATTTGTTTTAAGTAGATGGTTAGCCATGAATAAAGAGAAACTTGAAGTTGAGCGTGAAAAATCTGTTCATTCCCCAAGAAAATATATAACAAGAAGACACATTTTTGTTTATATTTTTATTTAGAGATGAATAAACATTTTATTTATCAAGCATACATTTCACCTGTTAAACAACATAAAGTAGAAGTATATAATATAATTACAAGTTTTTCTATTACTATTGGCATAAGATATATGAGTTTACTATTTTTAATCAAAGAAGGTATTATTTATTCAATAATATGATCAAATTTAGTTATGTATTGGCTTTTTCACTTTTTAAAATTTACTCATGCATAATATTTTTAAAATTTAGCTGATAATGTTTAAATTGTTATTGTGTTATCCTCCATTTAAGGGTTTAAAAATTTAATATTAAATTAATATAATATATTTTTAAAAATGTTTTGCTTGCAGAAAATATAAAAAATCAATGAATACTGGAAATTCAATAGAAATAAAAAGTTTCCCTCAACAACAATCTTTGGTTAATAGTATGTCAATTAAATCTAATATTTTAAAAATATACTTTTGGAAAGTTAATTTACATATATTAGTTAAAAATTCATTTTTGAATAGATGGTGATTTTCAACCAATATCAAACGATAGCATTATCCCCAAAAAAGTTTGAATAATGAGTATTTCTATTGGTAGTCATAATATTACGACTGTTTTTAATATCTTATATATAAAACTTGGTCAACTCTCTCCAGTTGAGTGACACATCAGCGCTGGAGAGAGCACCACCTGTCATCTTTAAACATTAATAAAACAAATAATTAATTATATTTAAAGCAAACAAATTAAAACACATTAAAACATATTAAAAATATTAAAACATTTTAAATTACATTAAAACACATTAAAGCACATTAATAAAAATTAATATATTTATATTAGAATGAAATTCAAATTTAATTTAAACATATAAAAAATTATAAATATTATATAATACAAGACTTTTTAAATGCACAACTCTACTTTTAAAAATGTTTTAAAATTTATTTATAAACTAAAAAAAAAATTAATTTTTAATGCAAGTGAAAAAAAATTATGAGACTAAATAAGTTAAAAAGTTTCAAATAATATTATATAAAAGTTCAACTAATAAAATTATAAAACACAAATCATATTTAATAAATGATTAAAAAGATAAAAGTTATTAAAAATAATAGTAAAAATGAAGGTATCCACATAAAAATGTCATCTATGATTTTTTTAAATAATAAAAAAAGATGGAATCAATAAAATATATACAACCAAAAAAAATCAAATGATAAATTAAGAAATTAACAAGTATTATATTAGTAAGATTAATTAGAAAAAAGAATATAAAGATCGAAGAAAAAATGAGACTATTTAATACAACTGGTGTAAAAAATATTACATATAATGTATCATCAAAAAGAAATCGAAGAAAATATAAATATTTTAGACAAAAATATATTAATAGCAAACATAAAATTCAATAGAAAATATTTAAATATATAAATTAAAATAAGATCCGCGCATACGCGCGGATTCTCTCCTAGTTAGAACTAATAATGTTAACCATTTAAATGAAAAGGATGAAGATCAAGAAAAAAGAACCAAATAATAATGTAATACAATGTCCCGATTGTAATGGTTGTGTTTGGTCATTGGAAAGTACTGAAAGAGATGCAGTTTGTAAACGACCATTGTTCTTAATATGTTGCAAATAAGGTCGTGTTTTACTCTCTACTGCTCGTGAGCCTCCACAGTTATTAATTAAGTTTTTAAGTGAACCTCTGTTTCTCTGATATATGAGAGCATATAATTATATCCTAGCTTTTACTTCTATGGATGCAGAAATTGATTATTCTGTTCAAAATATATATGGGATATATTGTTTCAAAGTCCATGATGAAAAAAAACACATTATTGGGTCTGTACCACTATGTGACAGTGAGCTACCAAAGTTCTCTCAAATTTATACTTTTGATACAGCTAACGAATTAAAAAACGTCTAATATTACACAATTAAAAATTTGTTAAGTCAATATAATATATCCAATGCTATATGATGTTATACATTCAAGATACTTTTAAGTTTTCGAAAGATAATGTTGACTTAAAAATGTATCAAAACTATTTCTAATGGTTTGAAATCCAAATTTTTTCCAAATTTTTTACAAATCATGAAAAATTTGAATTGTTTTCAAACATGATTTTGTTCTAGAATTTTATTCTCTTTGTTTGGAGATTTTAACATTTCATATCAAGATAATGTTTTAAAAAACTTTTCATTGTAAAAATATATCTATAAACGATTGAATTCTATTGAAAAATTGATCATGTTGGTTATAATCGTTGTTTAAATTCTTCTCAATGTCAGTTGTATAGTTGTCTTTTATATAAATGTATATGTTGAGTTATACATTGTTACATTAATTATAAACTATGAACTCAAATAGAAATGTGTGTTAATTGGTTTGTACGACTTTGTTTTTTATATTTTTGAAATTCATATCTATTTTTTTTTTTTTACAATAGTAGTTATTTTTCAAAAAATTAGATATCTACATCTAAATATCATCACCTTTTGTTATATGTATGTTTACTTGTAAATATTTAGAATAATTAAGAGTTTAATATACCTTATTTTCTCTGCGATTTTGCGGGGACTTGATACCTAGTAAACCATAATAGTATAATACAAAGTCTTAGATGAAGAGTGTTTTTTTTTTTTTTATTTCTTATCGATTGAAGTCTGAAGAGGAATTAAGGATACACAAAAATCGAAGAATAAACTAAATTAGTTTGCTATACATACCTGAAACATGTAGCCTTTTTTTTTTAACACAAAAACGTGAAGCATTCGACATATGAGAGCATCAGCATCAATGAGTCTCTCAAAAAGAATCTCTCAACAAATAAGGTACGGATAAAAAACTAATGCCATTACCCAAAAAAAAAAAATAAAGGAGATACGAATAAAGTGGATAAACAGCCATGGAAGTCCTAATAAATATGGTTTGTGTTGACACAAACTTGTATGATAAAAGAAGACAGAAAGGAAAAACTCAAGAAATGTAAAGAAAATTCAAATGACAAAAGAAATAAACACACTCAAGAAGAAAGCTGGGTGAGCGGATTTAGCCAGCTTGGGAGCACATATTGTGAAAAGTAGAGAGTATGATCCATACGACAGCGCAAAGTGATGGAGAGGCAGAAGCGAGATAACGAATATGCACAAGATTCTTAGAGGATTCGTGTATAATCGATTTGAAATAAACAAAGAAGATCTTTGTTTAAATCGAGGGTTGGGAATACTCTTCCCCGTGTTTCGAAAGCTCGTTAGAGGCTTTGGAAACTCGTTAAAGGTTGGGAATACTCTTCTCCGTGCTACAAAAGCTCGTTTAGCTATGAAAGCTCAAAGTTAGTTCAATATCAAAAGTTGTCATTTACAAAGCTGTAGAACATCCTATTTATACAACACTAAGGAGATCTAAATCGTATCTCTTCATCCTAATTTACAAGTATTTATAATTATCCTTAAATAAAGAAAACCTATATGATTATATCTAAACAAAACGAACACGTAAGGCCCAATAGACGTGTTCGTCGTTAAAGGCCCAAATCCTTAATATGCGCTGCATCACAAAGTGTTGGGATAAAGTTCATAGACTGAATCCATGTACTCTTTGCAACCGCTAAATGTCATGATGCAACCATCCATAGACTTGTTCTCCGATATTGACTCTTCTTTGTGAAGACTAAACTTGTGAGTCCTCAAGTTTAACAAGACCAGGCCATTCTTGTTCCTACTCCACACGTATATGATCTCGGAGTTGAAAGGATGCATCGCCACAGGGAAATAATCAGCACCAAACCCGACCAAAGACGTTTTGGTGTTCAGTTTCCAGGTCAGTTGCCATGACGACTGAGGATCATTATCCGCGTACTTTACCAACCTCCAAACCCTGATTGTACGGCTTCCATTATGATTGAAAACGTTGCAATACATTACAAATCTTGCGGAGGTTGTGATTGTTCTCTTGAAACGTTGGTTTTGTTCAAACCGCTTTATACCAGGAAAAGGTATAACACGACACTCAAGATTATCATCACCATTACCACCACTGAAGAAATCATAGGATGCAACATAATTTGCATCATAGCTGCTAGTAGCCGAAGCAAGCCAGTGAAGAATCCCATTCAAAGGAACCGAATACTTGAGCCTAGACCAGATCAAGGGACGGAGACAACGCACTTCTTGGGTTTTCCATGTTCCTGTCTCCGAGGAATATATCATGAAAGTGAGCGTTATAGATACAATAGATGGGGCCAACACCCACACAACTTTGTAACTCGCAACAGTACCCTTTTCCATCTTTGTGACAAGTCCAGTGTCGCTAAAACATCTATTCTCCTGTAACCTCACAAGTCACAACATCAAAAACCGAGAGATGTGGAGGAAGAGGGATTCTTACCCATTGTTGGAACAAGGGACTTCCAACATGATACATAGGTGACCCTTCGCTGGTTTCCGTGTAAATCAATACCAATCCATCGGTGCAGCTCAAGACCGAAGTCTTCCTCACTGTCGTCTCCGGATTGTAACGCATCAAAGAGCCTAGGGAATTGGTACGTCCCCATCTATGACAGCCATGGTATCCAATGATTTCCAGCGACTGTAAGTTGTTGTTCCTTCTGTTCATGATCGACCATGACACAGAGGATGAGTTAGAGTTGAGAGACTCGTAGAGATCTCGGAAGAAGTCTGAATCGATTATCAATTTCCATTCTTTGCATACCGATCTGAATCTTGCGATGCTCTTCAGTGCAAATCGAGCCAAGATTTTCACCAATGCTTCCTCTGGAACAGCCATTTTTCTCTTCTTATTCTCCATTAGAGATTTAGATTTACGCTTCTCTCCAAAAGGATTAGATTCTCTAATCACAGGATCTCTCTCGCTCTCTCTCAATTTAAACTTATAATTCTATGCATGATTGATAACTTTGTGATATATTTATATCCATAATAACTCAGTCTAATGCAAACATAAGGATATCTTTCTTATTCTAAGAGATTTAGTGTTATCTAATATGTTAATCTTCCTAGTCAGTTTATAGTAATGTAAACGAGTGTAAACGTGTAATTACGTGTGTGATTTATAGTAATGCATTGACCATTCATTATACTCTCTTATTCTCTACGCATTATAGTTTCGCTTTTCACAAGAAACAGATGTAACATATGTATCGAACGTTACACGCCTTTTGAAGAATTAAGATAATTAGCTTAAACCGAATCAAAATCTTGTCAGTGTTACTGAGTAAATTCGTTTGGGTTAGTAAGAAAGAGGAGGCTTGTTCAAATCAGTTAGGGCATCTCCAACTCTACCCCATTTCTTCCTCTAAATGCTATTTTGGAGGAAAATCTTCTCCAATCCTACCCTATTTTCACCTGAAAAATGGAGGAATGCCATTTTTTCCTCCATATATGGAGTAACTCCATTTTTAACTCCATTTTGCAGGTAAACTTTTTTATTTACAAAATAGTTCTTTACTTTTCATTAATTCTTAAAAATATATTTTTAATTTTTAATTTAATCCTTTATATTATGTATATTTAATTTGAAATTAAAGATAGATAGATTTAAAATTTGAGAATAGAAAATAAAAATTATAAGAAGATTGCCTGAAACTAGAAATAACATAAAATTAAAAATACATAAAAAGTACTGAAATTACAAAAAAAAAAAAACAATTTATTACAACAACTGATTAATATTTGTCCAATCGCGATTTGCTATTGTGAAAGGTCAAAGTTCGTCTTTGGAAAAAATGTGTTAAATGACATAATGATTACATGTATAATTTTACATAACATGATAGTCGAGGATGAGCGTGATCTTGATGCACCGATTGAAATTGGAAGAGAAGCTCCACTCCAGAGGTAGAAGTAGCTAAGGACAAAAGTATCCGATTCCAAAATTTTCTTGCTCGATTCAGAGAAATCAAAGATAAAAACGCTCATTTTTCATTTCGAAATGCTTTAATTGATCATTTGTGGGAAAAGTATTCAAATGGTGATATTTAAATTAAAATGTACTTAATTTTCTTCTTTTAAATAGTGTGTAATGTTATTTTTATATTATAGTGGTTGAATTTAAAATAATATTATAATTTATGAAAGTTTTAAGAGAAAAAAAATAAACGGGTTCATTTGTAATTTTTATAAATAGAGTGCATTATTAGTAATTAACAATAAAATAAAAAGGAAGAATATACTTAGAATATTCTTTATGGAGTTGAAAATGGAGGAATACATTGGAGAGAAATCCAACTCCATTTTGCAGTTCCTCCATTTTGGAGATAAAAATGGGGAAATACATTGGAGATGCTCTAATACGAATTGCTATCCCTCCACAAGTTATGTTGGGTTAAGCTTGAAAGATAACTTGAGCAGCAAGTTAGATTAAAGCTATTGGAAATAAACTAAAATGTTTTAGGAATATTTTTAGGAATTATTTACAGAATAAGGAAATTTGTTGTTCTATTGGATTTAGGAGTTAGCTAATCCATTCTCTATATAAGGAGTTGCAGAGTTGTTGCAAACACTTATGAGTTGAGAGAGATTAAGAGAGACTTTAGTTTTTGAGTAATTTTTCTAAAGCTAATAAAAGAAGTTGCTTTTATTCATACCTGATATAAGTCTCAATTCTATAACATTATTGGGCTTTTTTAAGCTCATGTCCAACTCCCAATTAGTATTAGGGTCCAACTGGCAAAGCCCGCACGGATTTGATTAGGACAATGTTTTTTAGATAATTATTTATAAAATGATACAATAACACATAGTTAAAATTCTATTATGATAAAGTTTTTGATAAATTTGAAATTCACAACCGTTTTTTTTCTGTCGACGGACATGAATGCATGCTCAACTTTTTTTTGAAAGAAGTTACACGTAACAAATTTTAGGGTTTTTTTAAATATCAGTGATGATAATTGTTTTAATAACTTTAAAATGCATAACTATTGTCTCATAAATTTTTTTTTTGTTTTGTCGAGTGAATTGAATTGAATGAAATAACAAAAAAAAACTAACACACACATATTCATACATAAAAACAAATAATTTTACTAGTTTTTTTAATTAAAAACTAGTTTTTTAATTAAAAACTAATATAAAACCACAAATTTTATTATTACAAAAAAACTCTGGTTACAACCGTTCGTTTTCTCCAAACGCCTTTTTTTTTTTACAGTTTGTAACCGCCCGAAAATTAACCTCCAACCGCCTATTTCAAACACTGATTACAACCATGGTTTTAAATGCTTTCTCCAACCGACGTTACTGATTGGTAGAATATTTTCAACCACCATTGCCAACCGCCTCCTAAATGCTACCAATCAGACCCTTCATAGAGACAGAGATATCTGAGAAGTAAAATGCAGTTCTCATGGCTAACACACGAAAGCAGTGTGGTGCAAACCTCAATTTCTCTTTCTTTTTGTTCCCCTAACTCTTTGCTCGTCGGATTCGGATGATGGTGGTGTTGGAGGGTTGTCGTCCAGATCTTCATCGACAAGATGATCATGATCGCCATCATCACCACCTCCCTCCTTGTCATCATGATCATCCTCGTCATCATCACCTCCCTCCTCGTCATCATCACCTCCCTCCTCGTCATCATGATCACCTCATCATTATCATCCACGCCACCGACGTCATCATCATCATCCCCGCCGTCATCATCAAAGTCAATGATGTTTCCCGGAACCAATTGATGATTCTCCTCGATCAAAAAACCATTGTCATGCTCCAGGGAGTTTCGTGACCATGCATTAATGAGATGCAGAAGATGATTCTGACGACTTAACGATAATCGGATCTGGAAGGTCAATTGTTGCTGCTGGTTCATTTTCTGTGTAAACAAATTCAGAAATTCAAATCCCAGTATTCCAAAAAATCAATTTTCGAGCAGGAAACAAATATTTCAATCAATTTGCGAAATTCCAGCAATTCAATTACTGTCCATACTTAGAAATCGTGTAAGAAATCGTGAGAGCAATTCAATTTCTGTCCTATATCTGCACCCTGAAAACGAGAAAATGAAAATAGATCTAAATCGCGAAGGCATTTGCGAGGCTTTCCTTCATTAGCAAAATCTCAGTCCATACCTGAGAAATCGTGTAAGAAATTGTGAGAACGATTCAAATTTCTGGCCTATCTCTGCAATCTGAAAAAGAGAAAAGGAAAATAGATCTCAATCGCTGAGGAACTTGCGAAGCATTTCTTCATTAGTAAAATCTAAGTCTATACCTGAGAAATCGTGTAAAAAATCGTGAGAGCGATTCAAATTTTCGTCCTATCTTTGCAATCTGAAAAAGAGTAAAGGAAAATTGATCTCAATCGTTGAAAAACTTGCGAGGCATTCATTCATAAGCAAAATATCAGTTCATACCCGAGAAATCGAAAGAGCATTCTCTGCTCGCCACTAGCCAGCAACTGAAATTTGAAACTGCAACGTCTCCGACAAAAAACTCTGCTTAAATACTCTCTTCAACTTCTTTTATTGGACGTTTGATATAACAATTTTGACATTTTTTTTGTAAAAAACGCCCCACAACACCAATCAACTCTTCCCAGGAAATATTTATAGCATCCCTTTTATTTTATTAGTTAATGTCAAAATATGTCTAGTTTTATCCCAAAAACTAGTGTAAATTGCAAAAAAAACCCAGGGAATTTTTTTTTTCACGTTCAAAAACTCAAAAAAAGAGATTCGATGAAAACCCCATTTTTATATATTAATGCAAGTTAAACCCCGGGTATTAATTTCGTTAAATCATAAACCTTAAAATTGATTATTTGTCATAATTTGAAGAACTCAACAGTAAAAATGAAGAATTGTTGAAAATTCATGTTTATTCATAACATGTTATTAAATTATGGTAGCTAGATGACTGCATTTATGATTAATTTTTCTTGTTTATAGTTTTTATAACCTTGGATTGTGCAATCAAGCATGCAAATCAAGATATTTGGGTTTCTTCTTGAAAAAAAAAAGATTAGGGTTCATACTCCATAATCTGAAGTGATGACTTTAATTCTGAAACTATTGACTTTGAAATCTAGCCTTCCTTCGTTGGTTTTTTCTTCTCATTTTTTTTGCAAAATACTTAGGTCTTACTCAAAGATTATGTTGTCTGAGTTTTGAGTGAACACCGAAAACAACGTCGTTTGTAAATTACTAAAACATGAATAGCATGCAGGGTTTAGTTTGCACAACAAAAATAAAAATTTTAGATTCCACTAAGCCGAAATGTCCTCCATCGTGCCAATAAATAATTGTTTTCTTAAATACTTTGGCTCTCAAAAGCTATAAGCCCATTAGCTTGAAACGGGTGATGACTATTAGAACAGGTCAGGGGGGTTGGCCCGAATTTTGGGCACAAAATCATATGCAATTTGGATTTATTTTTTTTTAAAAATAAGCCCAACACAGAAAATTCGGTTCATCCGGACGAGCCCGACGACCCCATATGCGAACCACATGGCATTTGCTAATTGGGCATGAAAAATGGGAATAATGCGTGGAAAAAAAAACTCGAGGGGAAAAAAATTCATTTTCTCTTTCCCCGAGTTTTGGTTCTCTCATTTTGCTTTGCGGCGATTCTAGGTGATTCCGTCGCAACCGGTGTTTTCCGTCGATTAATCCCGGTGAAGCTGCCATCCGAGCATCGCCCTTCCGTCGATATCATCCAGGTAAGCGTCTGCTCTTTGATTTAGGTTTTTTCGTTTCGATTTCGAGTTTTTAGGGTTCGCGATTTTTTAGGAAAAAAAACAATTGAAATCTGGGTTTTTTCGTGAAATTAG